GAAGACTGTTACTGATTTTCATCAGCTGTCTGGTGCACTTTCATAACTTTGATCAAGACAGCAATTAAAAGCTAGGCTGTTAGAAGCAAAACCATTCTGGTTTTCGGTAGCAAAATTCGGTATTGTTCTGTTCGTTTGTGTGACGTTTTCCACATCAATGAGCTTAAAAATCTAATGTCAGTTGAACCATATGCTAACGGAACTTTTTCCATACAGTAAATATATATTTTCTGTCTTTTCAGACTATATGTGCTTTGATTTGTGGTCGACCAATTATAAAACCAGAGTTTTTTGTTGAATTAATCAAAGCTATTCAGTCCAGGCAACAGTTGCCAAATTGTGAAAAGTAAGTATCGTGTTGTCAGTGTTACAGAATTAAATTTATGGGAGTTACATTGTCAAATAACTACGCATTTATCTGATCAAATTTGACAGAATGCATGATTCACAGTAACTTGCTTAAGAAGAATGCTTAATATGACACACAGTTTAATATTCAAGCAATTTTCTTGCTGTGATCCCTAGAGTTATAAAATGAGCTCTTGGAATTGACTACATGCTTTGAGATGTTACTAGCTCTAAATACAACCTTGTTTTGTTGGTATGCTTGAAGCAACATTTAAACTCTTTTGGGAGTTGATACATTAAAATACAGAAAATTACATTTTTTATAAAAGAAGGTGTATTAAGCTTATTTCATTGTGTAGACATATTTTCCTAGTACGCAGTTAGTTTCTGAGTTTACTGTAAACTTTGGTCAAAACAGAGTTAGCCTGACCACTGAATTCCTTGAAATAGCAGGGGTTTTTAATTATCTGTTTAGAGATGAAGTGAGACTAATGTGCATTGGTCTTCACTGTATGAGAATAAAATACTCATTGTTTTCATGGTTAAATTAACTTGAAAAAGGAATTCTTATGTTGGAATGAATAAGTACTGCAGAATAGCCCTTTTGGTTATTTTCTTTATGTAGAAAAGTGTAAAATGTAAAATTATTGTATGCAAGAATTTCATCTGAGCCTGTAATACTACTATTTTTACCTTGAAAAGGGAGACAGTTTTCTTTTGTTTGTTGGTTGTTTGTTGGTTTTTTGGTTTGTTTGGTTTGGTTTTTTTTTTGTATGAATGTATGATTTATACAGGTGAGAAATTTCCACTGGCTATTTTTAAAAAGTAAACTGCCTGGGTACTTGGGTTTTTTTATCGCTTCTATTCTTTGCATGCTTTGGAAGATACTGTGAAATGAAATACATCATGAATGGAAATTGTAAGAAGACTTGGCCTTTGAAAAATAACATGTTGAACTTTTAATGTCAGTTAGCAGGGAGAAGAATCTGTGAAATTACTTTAAATGCGTTCGAGACATTATGATTTTTTTGGATGTATTGTTTTAACCAAGTGGAGGCTGGACACCAGACCTTTGAGTAGGGGGAAATAAATGGTGAAGAAGAATAGAAGTCACAGTTGGTTTTACATACCTATGGATGTACATGCATACATATGTGTTGGGACATAGCAGTTTAATTTATTTTCCTTAGTGGGTCTGATGATAGCCATTGGTAGAATAGTTTGAAGAACGGGGGTGGCGTGGAAAAGGGCAGCTAAACAAACCTCAGTGGTGCACACATAGTGATGGAGGCAAAGCTGCAGAGGAGTCACAATAAGCTGCACTTGCTAAGTGATAAAATATATTTCACAGAATGTGACAGTACCTTGTTAGAACAATACAGGTGCCAATCTGGACCAACTGGTAGCAAATACTATTTAATTTCTAGATGCTGTTTTAGATTTGCAGGGGTTTATGTAATAAGTCAAATGAATCATCTGTGAGTGGTTTAAAGCTCATTTGGCCGTCAGTTTCAGAAGAAGGGGAATCTTCGTGAATTGTAACTTTTCCTTCTACTTATACTTCTACATCATTTTGTAAGGACATGAGAAAACTAAACAATTTAGAGTCCTCTCTGAAATATTGTACCTAAGGTTTTCTGGCAGGGTTTTTTGTTTGGGTTTTTTTTTTTTTTTTTTTCAGTACAGGTAGTACAAGCCATCAAAAGCTAGCCATTGGTTGTGCAATCTGAAATTTGCTTGGTCTAATGTTATCTAGCTGTAAGGCCACTGTTGCTGTCTGTTACAGTACCAAGCAAACAGTGGCTTGGGCTCTTGAAACCAGTGTGCACGTTGTCCATTCCTTTAGTATAGATTTGACAGTACAATTGAGCTGTGAAGTGCTCCCTAAAATAGAACCAGAGGGATATGGTTTCCTTTCCGAATAGTTTTTGCTAACTATTAAGACCCTCAGAGGAACTGAGCAGACTAAATGTTAGTGACACCAGTAGTACATCCATTATGTAGCTTTCAAAGAGAGTTCTGCATCAAGCTAAATGAGACAGCTGGTGTAATACACAGATCTATATTTAAAATAATTACAGTATTTTAAATAGGTGATATCTTTAAGATGTAGCTTGTGGGAAGATACTGAAAATTTACTTAGCAGCTGTTTGCATTCAGTTTCCAAAAATACTTTCAACTTTCACGGGGAATCTCTACATTTTGCATTGTAGCTAGAGCTGATCTGAGCTGGTACATACAAGACGCTAAACAACTTGGGGCAATACTAGTTTGGGTATGAAATAAGAAAGGTATATTGATGTGGTGATACAGGGTGACACTGTTAATTAAATCTTGATTACTACTGTAAATATGATTCCCCAAAAACTTAGGGAAATATAATCTTGAAGTCCAAAACTATTAAAACTTCTTTTTGTTTATACTGAGACTTCACAGAATTGCAAATCTGCAGTTCACATGTGAATGTGGGGGTTTTTACTTGAGGCTTTTTATGGTGAAGGATATTACCCCAGTCCTCTGATAACCCATGCAAAGAAGAACAGTAACTGGAGATTTCACTAATGGCTGCATAAGTGCAGCCTTGTATGAAATAACAGTCCAGTGTAAATAGTGCAGGGCTTTGAAAAAGTAGGAAAGTAACTGAGCTTTTAACAGAAACTCATCAAGAATCAAAATCTATTGAAAGATTCAAGACTGTAGAGACACTTTTCTGGATAATGGTGTTAGTGTTCAAAGCTTATGGTGAGAGGGTACAAGGGGCACTTCAGGATCCTAAGACAGAAAAACACTTGTGTTGCCTTTTGAGCTTAGATCAGCATTGGATAAGAGTTTCAAAGGAAAATCAAAGGTTTCTCTGTGGAGGAGATGACCTATTGAAGTTCCCTGCTGAAACTGAAAAACAGAGATCTGAAATATATTTCTATAGAAATTACAGTCCAGTTCCAAAGTAATGGGGACTGCTGTTTCTCCCTTTTTACTTGTCCTTTGGTCTTTAAAGATTACTATGTCGCCTGCATTTATCTTAGGTTAATAACTGCCTTTATGGTACACAGTATAAGAAATCATCTGTCCTGATAACTAAAATCTGAGTTGCCCTATTTCTTACAGTTAGAAGACTTCATCCTATCTATTTCAATGCAACAATATTTTGCAGACTTGAACTGGTTGTTGAAACTCACCAAATACTAATTTTTCAAAACTTGTTGGTTTCGGGCTGGTTAATTTCCATTGTGTACATAAAGCTTCAGGAATTGATTGTGAAGAACACAAAAGAACAACAATTATTTTAAATTAACTGTAATTACATAGTGCACTTTATTGTAATTGAATTACATATTTGGATGCAGTAGAAAATTTACATGCTTATTCTTGTGTTCAGCTATAAGTATGTGAATATTCACAGTGTATGAAGAATGTTTATATGTTTACAGATGGTGCATTTTTTTCAGAAACAAAGTATTTCAGGATTTCATGGAGTATGTTTCTTGCTTAGAATCTGCTAATCTTTGCATAAGTTATGAAAAAGAAGTTAAAAACATATCCATGTGTACATGTCGTGGTTATATGTAATTTATTGTGCTGTTAAACCATATTTTGGGAGTGTGTTTCAGCATCTTTTCTTTCCTGCATAGCAGTATGAGAAGGATGTATAATCAGCAGTCAGAATAAAGATAAGTAGAATCATAGAATTGTCTAGGTTGGAAGGGACCCTTAAGATCATCAAGTCCAACCATCAACCTAAGTCTGCCAAAACTACCACTAACACATGTCCCTCAGCACCACGTCTAGGGTGTGATTCCACCACTTCCCTGGGCAGCCTGTTCCAATGCTTGATAACCCTTTTGGTGAAGACGTTTTTCCTAATATCCAATCTAAATCTCCCCTGGTGTACCTCGAGGCCATTTCCTCTTGTCCTGTCGCCTCCTACTTGGGAGAAGAGACTGACTCCCACCTCGCTACAACCTCCTTTCAGGTAGCTGTAGAGAGTGATAAGGTCTCCCCTCACTCAGCCTCCTTTCCTTCAGGCTAAACAACCCCAGTTCCCTCAGCTGCTCCTCATAAGACTTGTGCTCCAGACCCCTCACCAGCTTTGTTGCCCTTCCCTGGACACACTGCAGCACCTCACTGTCTTTCTCGTAGTGAGGTGCCCAAAACTGAACACAGTATTTGAGGTGGAGCCTCACCAGTGCTGAGTACAGGGGGACGATCACTTCCCTAGTCCTGCTTACCATACTGTTCCTGATCCATGCCAGGATGCTGTTGGCCTTCTTGGCCACCTGGGCAGGTAGTTCTATGATCAGCCAGAGTATGTGTATAAACTGCTGTTTGGGAACAGATATAGTATAGTACGGTTAAAACCAACCTATAGTTTTCCTTCTTTCTAGTATGTGGCTTTACCTTGCTCTGTCAGAACTGCTTTAGTAGTGAATATGTGTCTCAAAGATCCTGTAAATACTATCCTGAAACTATCAATTAGATGCGTATCTTAACTCTAGAGGCTTTTCATGATGTGCGTATGCCATCGTTAATTGGAGCTGAGATCACAGGCCATGACAAAAATGAGAGCTTCGAGGTAGAATTTGACTTCTACCTAATCTGTTCTGCAGCTGAACTCCTGGTCACTTTTCTTGTATTGGACAAAACAGTTGAGAATCTGTAGGGTTGGATCAGTTCAGTTCTCTGTCCCACCAGCAAGAAAAGTGTACTTATTTTCTGTCACATTGGTAGACTGTCGTTTAGTGTGGTGGTATGCAGTTTCTTGATCCAGTAGAAGAGGAGGAGTGTCTGTCCCCACCTGAAGTGTAGAGGAAGCAAGATGACTAATTTTGTGTGGAGTTTTACTATTAGCTAGAGTAGAGTGCAGAATGAGATTGTAGTCTCATTCGTCAGTATTGTTAGTGGAGAATGTGGATACGTATGCAGCAGATGCTTAAAGTGGTCAGATTGAATATGTTCCTAAAGCGTTGTCCTCTTAGTTACTGACAGTAGAAAGTTTTGTTCTTAGCTTATATGTGGAGAAATTAGAGGCTCTGTTTCTTCTTAACAATCTCTTGAAAAATATTTATATAAATAGTTTTAACAGAGCAATGCAGACCTCAGAGCTTTACTCTAAACCAGAAAAGACTAAGTCAGTACTGATAGGTCAATCTGAATTTTATAACTTTATTTTTCTGTTCTCGCAGCTTTTATCCTCCAGTTGATGAGCCTTCCATTGGCACTGAAAATCTGGATTTATCTGAGCATCACGAAAGGAAAAAAATATTCAGTGGAAAAACTTTTGTATTCCTAACTGCTAAGCAGGTAATCAGGTTTTACATTGCAAAAATGTTGCAGGTGTAGCTAAGCACAGATTCCGTGAATTCACACTCATTCTGGGGTTCATCAGGAAAGAAGGATTTCTGTGTATTTATCTTCTTACCATACAATGGCCTAAGCAAGATGAAATACAGGGGGAGAAACAGAACACATCACATGCACTAATACACCAGAGATAAGCCTTATGCTGATAGTTCATTACACTGATACCTCTAAACTGACTGTATTTTAAGATGTTTTGTTTTTTTTTATTTGTGTTCTCTTTTTAGCACAAGAAACTGGGTCCAGCAGTTATTCTTGGAGGAGGGGAAGCAAAGCTGATGACAGAAGGAAGAAAAGAAACATCTTTACTCATTTCTCCCGAAGTTTGTGTTGTTGATGTGGGGTTGACAAACTCTCAGATCCCAGGATCTGACTCCATGAGAAACTGGACTGATTCCATTCTGACTGTCTTGCAAAGGTGCAGCATTGGTCTCTTGTACAGCGGTAGGGTAATTTCAGAATTTCTGCAGAGATTTAGTCATGGTGTTTGCATACATATTTAAGCAGTAGGATGTTTATAAAGAGGGCATTTTCTTCCTTGCTTTAAATATTTAGCATAGTAACTAAAGTTTG